TGGGGAGGGAGGGGAAGGTAGAGCACAGGGCAGGGAATAGACACAGGATAGTTTGGGTGCTGGGGAGGGGGGCAATACATAAGAAGGGGGAGAGAATGGAAGAATAAAGCGGATGGGAGAACACTTAGACAGGTTTGCATGGGCTAAGTGGGACAGAGGTAAAGAATGATGTACGCACAACCTTGGAACAACAGGGCTCTGGGATACAGGGATTGAGACATGGTTGGAATGGGAAAAAGGGGAGGAATAATATTAAGATGCTTGGCTGTCTTTTGAATCTTGGTTTTCCTTGCATACATACCATTATAAAATAGACACTTAATGGGGAGAGAAAGGAATTGCCAGAAATATCACCATAGAAAGCTTGTAAGTCCGTCTTCTGCCTATAATTGATTGGAATACCTAAAATGGGGCTACAACGTGCCCACTGAAGAAGACTTCCTGCGGAGCATCTGCATTATATAAGACTATAGGTGGAATCCTGAACAGCATCCAGAATCTTCAGAGGTGGGAAATTTCCACTTGAAAGGACGGGCAGACCAGCCTGGAGTGGCTGCAAGAACAGAAGATACTTCTTGAAAGAACGACCGAAAGGAAAAATACAAAACAATATAGGCAGTCCAACTGATTACTACAAGAATAAGCAAGTTGCTCGCCCAGGAGACATCAAGGCAAGTGGTCAGTTCCCCTCAGAGCAAACCCAAGACAAAGACTCAATGGTTATACACTCTCTGATTGGTGACCACGTTCGTCACCGGTAAGGGGAAGTGAGGGGAAAACAGCAATGAAGCTGCGAGTTAAGCCCTACAACATTCAATAGACTCCTGTGAACCTGGGTGAATATCTGGTTGGCCAGCAGTGTGGCAAGACCTGGAGACTCTTGGGCCCAGAGTCAGTGACATAGCCACAGAGGACTAGAGTGGAGAGTGAAGCGTCCAGCTGATGAGAAGAGAGGGCATATGCTCAAGAACACCCGCACTTGCAGATAATACCCACTTGACCTGGCTTCAATGACTGGATGATCAGAGCTCAACTAGAAGAAGAATGAAGAGGAAAAAAAGAGTAATCTGATACAATTTGATGAACTTGACCTACACCTATGGATGCAGTAGCTCAAAAGAGGGAACAAATCTTTACAGCAAGGATCATTCCCACCCCCTCTATACACAGAGTAGACAGGGGATGGGCAACTTGGACATTGGCTACCCAAAGTGGGGAGGCTACAAAGGCAAGTGACTGGCTTACAAGCTTTCAAGAGGGAACCTAGATCAACAGGGTGTGGAGGAAGGTAGAATCTCCACTGAGTAGTGTCCAATCTGTCTAGTCGGAGCTGATGAAAGGAGATGCGGATAAGTCTCTTGTGATACAATAGTGAATAATTGTTATCAGAACTGATTGTGAGGGTTGGAAATGTAAAGGTAGACATTTTGTAGCAAGGAGGGGAGTGATTAACTTTGCAGTCTAGGAGCAGAGGTCCCTGGAACCATCAAGGGAGAAGAGCAGAGAACGGGTCCCTACCCAGAGAAGCAGTGATGCCAGAGATGGAGGCAGAGACGATGACGTGGAGAGGCGGAGCGTCCGGGGACTTTAGATCCAGAGAGAGAAAGGGGCTGTGTGCTGATAACCGGGGTGGGGGTGGGGGGGGAGGCTTGTAGGGTATACCCTTTGGTTGGTTGATGATGCATGGAGGGGATTGTAACCATGGCAATGAAATAATGTGTGATAGGATAAATGTAAAACTAATGTTCTCCCATATAAACTACCACATAATTCACAATAAAACACTTAAAAAAAAAAAAGAGCACAGGTTCAGAATTAGACAAGCTTAAACTTGAACCCTGAATTAACCACTTACTGATTGTGACATGAGACAGTTATATAAGCATCCATTTTCTCTTCAAACCTACATTTGGCCTGCAGACTCCCAGGTAAAGAGGCCACCCCCAGTTGCCTCTTACTCCTATGCTTATTTTAGGTGCGTCTGATCCCACATGGGTGAAACCTTCAGTGCCCCCTCTGCTGGGCACCCCAAGGCCACCGTCTTGCCTGTTCATCTGTCAGAATCTTTGAATTTCCCAGGCCGCCTGACTCTACCTCTAGGTCGTCCTTCTTCTTTTCCTGCTCCTGTTTTAATGATGAATGACAGTTTCAAGGCTCCACCAAACAAGCCCCATCCATCAAGAGGGGCATCTCAGCTCCTTCCCAAGCCACCCAACCAGCACCCCCTTCAGATCTTGCTCCAAGCTGTCCTTCCACTGGTCAGTCAGAGAGCCTCTTTCGCTTCTCACCCACAGAATGCCCCACAGGCTCTCCTTCAAACCCAGCTTAGCTAGAGATTCAGAGTCTCAACCTCACTCAGTCTCTTACTCCCTCTGTGACCTGTTTCCTTATCTGCAAAATGAAGATCTTGAATTCAGTGCTGTGGTCCTTCCCACCTCTGACCTTCTGAGACCTTCCCCCAGCATAAGGAGGTTGCAAAGCCAATTGCTGCCGTCTTTGACTTCCTACAGCTTCCTTAGGTCTAACCTCAATCCCTCCTGTTGCAGAAAAAGCCCATTTCTCCTGGATGAATCTCTGTCAAAGTTCAGAGGTCTACTGAGAGATGTGATTCAAACCTCCACCAACCCACCTCACCTTCCTGGCTTCCCTTGTGCTCACAGCTTCAATCTAACTGCCCACCATCTGTCTACTCCTCCTAGTTAATTTCAAACTTCCCTTCTCTGACCACCCCTCTATGGTTCATCCAACTCCAGTCAGGAGTTCAAATCACTCCCTCATCAACCCAGCCGCGTCCCAAGTTCAGAAACAGACCAAGAATGAACGCCAACTGCTTTCTGTTACTGATTTTTTTTTTTTCTAAATTATCAGTTACCCATACACATTATAAGGAGGGTTGATGGCACTGGACTGCTAATCCTTAAAAGGTCTGTAGTGTAACCCACCAGCCACTTTGCAAGAGAATGATGAGACTTTCTGCTCCCATAAAGATTTACAACCTCGGACACCCCCCCCCCCCATATAGGATCACTAGGATTCAAAACTGACTCAATGGCACCTAACAACAACAAACACATTACAGCAAATCTAAAAAGGAAAGGTACTCATAAAAGAGAAAAAAGACCTCCCACAATGACATCACCAAGAGTCAAAGACTTGACAACAGCTTCACTTTACAAGTGAGGAAATAAAATAAGCCCAGAGAGAGGAAGTAATTTGTTCAAGGTCACACAGCAAATGAGGTGGTAAGACTAGGAGCCAAGTCTCTGGTCATGCTCTGTGTGATCTCCCAGTAAACTGTTGGTTCAGCCTCTCTCCACATGAGTTTCCACTGCACTCTGCCCACACTCTTCACCTCTCTCCCTTCTCGTCACCCCAGAGGCTGGGATCCAGGCCTATGCCAGTTATATATGGGACCATTCAAATTTAGAATGTTGTCACTGACACATTCTGTCACATAAACAGCGCAATCACACCTCTTGTCAGCCTCTCTTTCCTGTTGTCTCATCCCATCCTAAGGGTGCCTATGCCAATAAAGCACAGATCTCTTCCTAATTCTCTCTGACAAGAGGCTTGGCTGCAAATGATCATTTTCCCAACTACAGAAAACGTCTAGATGCATGAGGAAAGAATTAAAAATTATGTGCTGAAAAAGTCTTCTCCTTTTATAACATGAGGGATCCAAGGTAGATCCCAGATAGGACTTCCAAGTGGGAGAAGAGATGTTGGAGAACTAATGTGAGGAAAAGAAGAGTGTGCAAAATGAGAGACCCTTCCCCACATTTAGAGCCAGGGCAGGCCAGGAGGGTAAAGCAGGAGAGACAGGGGGAGCTTCCAGGCTGTACAGGGGAACGTTAACTTACTTCTGCATGCGTGAACAGACCTTTCTCCTGGTACCAACCCCCGAGGAGAAGGCGCGTTAGGAGAAAGGGAGATACCGGTTTCTACTCTCTCTAAGGTGTCCGTCCCACCCAGGCCCCAAATGCGACTCATAAGGGCAGTAAGTCAGAGTAGGGTTGGGGGAAAGAAAGAAAAAAGGGCTGAGGAGCTAGGGCTGGAGCCTCAAGATTTCTGTCTGCTCATCAGAAGCCAGTCTTGCTTGGGATAGCCACGAATCTCCATGACTCTCCCACTGTCTCATTTGGGGCAGAAGCCCACCATCTTATAGAACACTCTCTCCTGGGGTCCCTTCAGTCTCCTTCCAGGGGGTAAAAAGGGGCCAGAGTATCTGAACCGAAGCTTCCAGGCTCACTCACCTACCCTATGTGTTTGGGGGCAATAATCTACCCGCATACCGGACATCGCCAGCTGGTCCGCACAAGCGCCTGCCCACACCTGCCCGAGCCCTAAACATACACCCACACACCATCCCCAAGTCACACTAGTTCACATCCCAAGGTTGTGAAGCCCCCTCGGCCCTCCTACCTGCTCCGGGCTGGGGGCTCAATGCAGCCTCCCTGAGCACCAGCACCAGAAGCCAGAGCTCGCCCCGCATGGTGGTGCCAGGACCCGCCTCGGACCCGGACCTGCCCCCGGCCCGCTCGCGGCCCCGGCGCGGACTCCGGCGTAGTCCCCGGGGCTGGCAGAAAGCGAGGGGCGAAGAGCGGCTGCGGAGCGCTGGGCCGGCGAGCCAGCGGGAGCCGCGGAAGCGCGGACTAGCGACAAGCAAACCGAGCGGCGGCGGCCAGGAGCGCGGGAGAGGGAGGGACGGGCCTTGGTGCGCCAGAGCCTCCCCCGCCCGCCTCGCGCCCTGCCGTTTCCCGGGCGTTCCGCGAGAGAGAGGGGCGGGAGGATCCCCGGGAGCGCCAGCGCCCTCTGCCCCACCTTCAGCTCACGCCCGCCTTTCCCTCCTCCGGCCCCACAGGACAGCCGTGGGCTCCCAGGATCCTCCCGTTCAGTTTCTCCCCGCTTCACAATTGTCAGTGTCTGCGGGTTTCCAGTTCTTTGTGCCCCACGAGAATCACCCCTTATAACGGTGACTCCCAGATTCTTTCCCTAACAGAAGCCTGAATTCAGCCCTCGGCCAGAACTCCTTCCCACTTCATTCCCCGAACCCCGTCTAGTGTGTCCTCCAGCCCAGCAGATAAAAGGGGGGTGGGGGGCGGGACCTGGTTGAACCCTAACCTGAAAGAACCTGGACCCCTAAAAGGAAACAGAGGCCCCCTCCTCCCCTGAGGCTCCAGGATTGCTCTAGGCCGGACTCAGGCAAAGAAACCTGCCAAGCACCTTATTACAGGCTCTGGGGAGAGATCATCTTTTTTTTTTTTGTCCTTATGGGACAGATTAAAAATACCAGCAATAAGACGCTTTAAAAAACGTCAGGGAATCAGGTCAGGACTCAGAGGAACCTCTTTCCCTGCCCTGACCTACTTTGTGTGATGCAGGACCTGCGGGGCTGCAGGGTGACAGAGAGAGGGACCACCCTGGTTCGACGATACTGAGACCTAGCGGTTGGAAAAGCGGGGAGAGAAAGCATGTGGATGCTGAGGGTCATTGGGAAAAGTACCCAGGAGAAGGGACTTGGTCTGCAAGAGGAGGGGTCCCTGGCACTGAAGCCAAAGAGAAGACCTGGGATTCTCTAATCTCTCATAATTTCAGTTCTTCCTTCCTCAGGACCCAGGGTCCCAGAGGCAACCTCGGCTAGCCCTAAACTCACTAGTCGGTAAATTCTTCTCGAAGTCTAATTTAAATCCCGATTTGGGTGACTTTCAAATTGTATCCACAAGACGCGGCTTCTTGCTGCCCTCTAGTGGACACGTAACGCGCAGCAACGTTCATGTGGTGAAGTTTTCCTCACTTTCCCAATCATAGTGACGCTGCTCCGAATCGAAATCGATTCGACTGCAGTGAGATTGTTTTGTTTTGTTTTCGAAAGGAGGGAGTGGGTGGTGATGACTTTTCCGAACCAGCCCAAATGCTGCCTCCACTCCTGGCTCTGAAACCACGGGTTCCTTCCTAGAAGTCGGGTTGGGAGGTCCTACAATGGAATTCCAGCCCTGCCTCTGTCTCTTGGTACATTCATTCCCACATCTGTTGTTCCCTCAGACTGTATTATATAGTCTCGTATAAGGGCGCAGGCTACGATAGCAGCATGTAAACATTTTCTAATAACGTGTAACTTTTTAAAAAATATTAAGTCTTTAGAATTAGAACGCGTTTCAGAATCACATAGAGTGCTTACACAGATTGCTAGACACCCACCCCCAAGTTTCTAAATGAATAGTTTTGATATTAGTTCTTTTATCTAATTGAATAGTTTTGTTCTTAGTTATTTTACGCTGGTTAAATTACCCAGTGTTTTGCATTCCCTCGCTGCTCCACACCTTCCTAAAAGAGAATAAATGTCCACATGAGGAAGTAAATCAGTAAAAACGCTTTAAATAAAGTAACTTGATGCTCTAGATAAGGAATTTTAGGCTTCTTTAAAAAAGAGAGAAAAGAAAAAAAAAAAGAAAAGCACAACCCAGGGGGCACCCGGATTTGAACCGGGGACCTCTTGATCTGCAGTCAAATGCTCTACCACTGAGCTATACCCCCTCTGTTGGCAACAGGCTGCAGAGAGCCTCTTAAGTGGACTTCTGCGCAGGCGCCGTGGGAAGTTTGTTTAAAGACGTGAGACATGGGGGCAGAGTTTTACAAAACTGACAGGACTCTTCATAATATGGGTGGAGATTGTTTCCGGAAGCAATAAGTCAAAATTTTCTACCAATGGTATTACAAAACTGCCTTTTGGGGATGTGGGACGATTAGTCCTTCGAGATCCTTCTAGATCCCTCACTTCGGGGTCGTTCCTCTGGGCGGGAGTCTCCCACACCTAACTTGCTGTAGCCCCTTTGCTGCTTCTCGGCGCCTCTCTGTCCCTCCCATATGCTCCTGCGGGCTTCTCCCGGCCTTCTTTCCCTAGCTGAAATCCAATACTTGGAAACTCTGCCACCGTCCTCCCTGAGGTAGAGCCGTAGGGGTCCTTGGACAGGGGTGAGCCGGCCTCCTCCCTACCCCTGTGTTGTCTGTCCCGTACCCTTGTGCTGTCTGTCCCTTTCACGAATAGTCTATCCAGAACTCCTCGCCACCAACGCTCTCAACGCTCTCCACACACAAGCTGACGAGTGGAGTGGAAGGGTCAGGGACCCATACTTAGCCCGCCTGCAAAAGTGGTTGGCAAGGGTTCCACTCTGTTTTGCGTGGGACCACTTAAGGAGTGGACAAGAGAACTAAGAAAACATATAGTCTAAGAACACAGAGGGGGCACCCGGATTTGAACCGGGGACCTCTTGATCTGCAGTCAAATGCTCTACCACTGAGCTATACCCCCACTCGTTTGCTTTATCTTTGTTATATCAAATTCCTATGGAATTAGGAAGTAGGCGTGTCTACTGAGTGTTGTTATTGTTAAGTGCCATCAAGTTGGTTCTGACCCATAGTGACCGTGTCTAGGGTTTCCGAGGAAGTTCAGCTGGTGAGTTTGAACCGCCGACCTTGCGGTCGAATGTTTATCCTACAGTGCCACACCAGGACTCCTACCTAAGGGTGGTTGATTTCGTTTGGTTTTTATTGGTTTATTGTTAACTTTTCCCTGTTAATGGGTCAGGATAACTTAGTACAAAGAACCCAGAACCCAGGTGAGGAGGGCTAGAATTTCTGAGTTCTTCCTCCATATTTACACCTCAGGAAAACCACACTGTTAAGGAATCCTGGACCCTCTATATCCATGCTCAGATTCTCCCCTAAATGTCCACTCCTTGCTTGGGAAGGGGAGAATACGGAGAGGCAGCTTGGAACTCCAGCTCTACCTACATAGAACCCCCAGGGCCCCTATCCCTCTCCTCCATGAGTTAATATCAAACCACTTCCTCCCCTAAGTCCTGGCCCCCCAGGTACCAACCCCCTCCAACCTGGCAGTCCTTAGCCAGATGTACCCCTGAGGCAGGTCTTTCCCATTTCCAAGGTTCTGTTTTTGTTGTTTTATTTTTGTTTTTCTATTTCCTCCCAAAGCACCTTGCACAGAAACCGAAAACCAGTGTGAGAAATAGGAAGAGTGAGCAGGCAGAGATAAAACGTGAATGGTTTCCAGTGGCATTTATTACACTTTTATAAAAATCCTAATACAATGTTTTGTTGTGGTTTTTTTGTTGTTTTTTTTTTAATCACTACAAAGAATTGACAAATAGGTAGGCCTTGTAGGAATCTGGGACGTTTGGAAAGAGTGGGATTCACAGTGGAGGACACCGAGGGTGAAGGGGATACATAGAGGTGGTGGTCTATAGCTGAAAAGCTGTGTCCAGAGCCAGCCTCTCAGCGCCAATGAGAAAAAGAGGGGGGAGTGCAACTCACTGCCGTTTGAAGGCCCCATCAGACCTCCCTTCCTTCTCTCTCTCCCCTCCCAGCTTTTGGCTAGCCCCTTCTTCTCCTGAGCCCAACTCCTTCACCTTTCAGGACCCTCTGTACTCAAAGGGTATGGGACAAAGATGACTAAGGGGGCCACAAAGCTGGGCAGCAAAATTCTAGGAAATAAAGAGCAATTCCAGGAGTCTCTTGCTTTGCCCACCCAACATATTCTGTACATTTTCCCTACAGAGAGGTTGAGGGAAGAGTGGAGGGGCCTCCACTTTCTCACCCACAACAGCTTCCCTGGGGATTCCAAGCATGACTTCGGCTTTGTCCACTGCTGTCCTGTCTGCAGGAGTTCAGGGTGTACAGTCAGCTCCTCGTGCATGGGGATGGAGGACAGTGACAATCCCACTGGCCATAATTGTCCCCACTCTGCCAGAGGATCATAGATAATAATAGTCACTTGGGTTTTCCACCCACATTGTTCATGCAAAACCCCCTTAGTCTCTGGTTGGCCTTAGGCTGGGGCATCAGTTGGCAGTGGTCCGAGACTGTAGCCACTGTAATCCAGCAGACAGCCTGCAGGGAGGGAGAAATAGGACAAGGATCAGCTTACCCCATGTAGATGATGGTCTTTAACTCCAGTCCCTGCCTGAAGCAGACTGAGGAGGAGCCAACGTTACATTCAATCATTCAATCAACAAACATGAACTGCCTGAGAACCTGCTGTATACATTAGGCACTGTGCTAGGGTTTTGGGGTTACTGGTGAAAAAACTGAACATGCCTCCTAACATAGTCCCAAAGACAATGTTCTATAGTGTACTTTAAAAAAAAAAAAAAAAAAAAACTTTATTGTGAATTGAGTTAAGGTTTGTAGAGCAGATCATGAGTCCCACATTCAACAAATCATTTTATTACAGTGATTGCAGTCCCCTCCATGTAAGAGAATTTGCTTCTATTCACTTTAATTCTTGCACTCCTCCCTGTGTCTTTTGATGCCTTCATCTTTCTACATCCTACTTTGTAAGTAACCACTGGGATCTGAAAAGGTCATGAGCGGCCATCTAAGATGCAACTATTGGTCTCTCCCTGTGCGAAGAAAAGAGTGATGAAAACTGAAGATGCTTGGAAACCGTCCAGTGAACTAATGGACCAAGTAAACATCAGGCTTCATGACCCTGAGAACAGAAGAACTAGATGGTGTCCAGTTACTACTACCAACTGCTCTGAAAGGGATCACATTAGAAGGTCCTAGGTAGAATGGGAGAAAATGTGGAACAAAACTCAAATTGTGAAAAAGACAGGGTTTACTGATCAAAAAGAAACTGGAGGAAACCCGAGTCTATGACTCTCAGTCACCCTTCAGGTCTGGAACTGAACTCACCCTCATGGCTCAATTTTCAGGCAAGCAGTAGATACGTTTATAGAGAGGACGATAGCAACGCTAGTAAGGTCTGCTCACCATGGTATAGTCAACTATTCAAGATCAAAAGGGCAGCATTTACCTACGGACAAAGTTCAGAAGGGTTGGGAAGGAGGGTGGAATGGAAGTAAGAATCAAAGGAAAAAGTGGAAAGTAAGAATCACATGAAGGGGATTGCAACCACTGGAATGAAACGAAGTATGATTTGTTGATTGTAAAATTGATGATCTGTTCTGCAAATCCTCACTCGATTTACAGTAATTTTTTTTTTTAATAGACATGTCCTCTAGGGTTTACAGTCCAGCAGAAGAAATGGATATTAAACAAATGGCCCAGCAAATGAATCTTTAACTACATACTGTGGTGAAGTTAAGAGAGTTACAGAGACCTTTGGACACCTCGGAGTCCGGGAGAGCTTCTTTGAGGAAGGGGCTGGACAACCACCTTCCTAGGCCCCTTAGCAGACTCCTGGTGTGGTGCTGTAGGATCAGCACTGGACTGCAAACCACAAGGTCAGAAGTTCAAACCCACCAGCTGCTCCTCAGAAACCCTATACAGGGTTGCTATGAGTCGGAACCAACTCAATGGCACTTAACAACAACAACAACAAGGCCCCTTAGCAATGTCTCTAGGCAAGTCTCCAATGCCTCCCTCACCACCCACTCCATTACAGATGGTACTGCTCTATAAGCAAGCTGCCCCACTAGACTGTGAGTGACGTCAGAGCCAGGACAAAGTCTTGGTCATGTCTGAGTCACCCCAGCCCTTTCAGACACAGTGCATAAAACATGGGGGTACAGGGTACACAGGAGCAGGCATGTAATGTAAGCTTGCTGGCGACCACATTGGTCTACTGGTGAGTGGAAAAGGAGGAAAGGCAGCAATGCAGAAATGGGCTGAGTTCAACCATGTTCCATAGACTCCCATTGACCTGGAGATGAGAGAGAGAAGAGGAAGGGCTATTTGGTCCTACGTGTGGTGAGACCTGGTGACACACAGACAAAGCCACAGAGGGCTAGAGCTGAGAGTGAAGCATCCAGCCGATATGAAGTGAGGGGAGATGCACAAGAACACCCATACTTGCAGACAGTACCCATTTGACCTAGCCTCAATGGCTTGATAATCAGAACTCTACTAGAGAAAGATAAAAAAAAAAAAAAAATTTGATAAAGGAAACTAGGGTAAATTGCTACAATTTGATAAACTTGACCTATACTCGTAGAGGTAGTAAGTAACTCAAAATACCAACAGAGAGGAAGGAGAAGGTATCAATCTTATCCCCTCTGTATACAGGGTAGATAGAGACAGAGACTGGCAACTTAGACATTGGCTACTTATAATGAAGGGGTGGTAAAGGCACAAAGTGACTGGCTTACAAGATTTCAAGAAGGAGTATAGTTTAAAAGTGTGCGAGGAAAGATAGAGTCCCCACTGAATAGTTTTCGTCTTGTCTAGGTGAAAAGAGATGGGAGTAAGATTCTTATGATTCAATAGTGAGTAATTGTTTTCATGACAAATTGTGACTGTTACAATTGTAAAAACGGAGGAGTAGTTAATCTTACAGGCCAGAAACAGAAGACCCTAGGACCACCAAGGAAGAAGACCACAAGAGGAATGCAGGACCCTATCCAGAGAAGCAGCGACTCCAGAGGCAGAGATGGGGTCATGGAGAGAGGGAGTAGCTGAGGACTCTAGATTCATGGAAAGAGAGGAACTGAGAGCTGGAGGCCAGTATGCAGACTTGCATAATGTGCCCTTTGATGGTGTAAATTATTATATATGCCTGAATATTCAAAAAAATAAAGAGCTAAAATGAATAGAACTACTGTTAACTGATGGTACATGGAGGAGATTATAATCATTATAATGAAACAAAGTATATGATTTGTTGAATGTAAAACTTATGATCTGCCCTGTAAACTTTCACTCAATTCACAACAAAAAACTTTCTAATTAAAAAAAAAAAAAAGTCACCTCATAGGTGAGGACATAGGCGGCCACCAGAGCTATATCAGGTGCCACCCCACCACACCCCTGCAGCTGTCTGCCACCATTAGCCCATCTCACTTTCTTCACCGCACTTATCAGCACGAGACTTAGTTACAGGAGTTAAGAGGAGTGCTGCCTCTCTCCACACTAGACTAAATCCCTGGAGAGTGGGGACTCTGGCTCACCACATACCCACAGCAACTCAACTGGCTTAGCTCACAGGCAACTCTGAGTCAAAATCTGATAGAAGAGATACAAGAGAAGTGTTCTGGTGGTTAACTGCCCATTGGTTGGGCCAGGTCCTGGAGGTCCAGATGGGGCAGCCACTAACCCTTCCCCGGTGAGGGCACAGCAGCCCTGTATGTGCCACGGGTGGTCTTTAATGGCACTGAGGGTGAGGAGTTGGGAGATCTCCGTGGTGGTCATACAGTTCTTCACGTCCTGCTTGTTGGCAAAGATGAGCACTGAGGCATCTCGCAGAGCCTGTGGACAGAGGAGGTCAGCCCCAGTCAGCCTGTCAGAACTGGCCTTTTCTCTTGTGGCCTTCCCATATCCTCCCAGGCTTCCCAGCTGTCCCAGCAGAGAGAGAGCCATGTCCAGTGGGACGGGATGGAGGCTCTGCTGCAACAGTAAAAACCACACCGAGTGACACTGAAAACTCCTGGAATTCCTCCCAACCAGTTCACATAGTCCTTATGACAGCGCCATGAAGTCATTACTGGAAAAGCCTCTCCTTTTTGTAGTTGAGGAAACTGAGGATAAACCTGGTGAAATTACTTGCCCAGGGAGAGGTGGGGCTGGGTCTTGAACCAACAACTCTGGCTTCCATAGTCAGTTGTAGTGAGAACATTGGAGCCCTTCACTGGGGTAAACCAGCCTGGCTCAAGTTGCTGAAACAGGGTTCTCATATGCTAGGGTATTAAGAATGTGGCTCAGCGAGACTGAGTAGGGACCCCAAGGGAATATGGTTGGTATTACTGGCTCCTCTTTAAGCTGAGGTTCTTACTTCATGGGCCAGCATTGTATACAGCTCCTCCCGAGTGGTCAGCAGCCGATCCCGGTCTGTACTGTCAATCACAAGGATGATGAACTGGATAGCAGAGAGAGCAGAGTGGTGAGCTGGTTTCCTGCCCACTGTGCTCCCCAACTGGCCTCTGCGCCACCCTGATGCCAACCCCGCAGATACCGTCTAGTCTCAAGATCTCATTTTAATTCCCCTTTCCATCCCGACACAGGGAGTACACTGGGTAGTTGTGATACCATTTAGACCTCACCACAACCCTGTGGAATTGGTACCATTATTATCCCCTTTTATAGATGTAGAGACTGAGGCTCCGCCAGATTGAGTTGTTTGCCTTCAGGCACACAGCGGGTGTGAAGCAGTGCTGGAATTTGAATTCAGGTCTGTCTTATTCCAGGAATTAAACCACTGAACCTTACTAATGCCCGAGTAAGAAAGGAGTTCCTAAGACAAGGGAACCATCCCCATCCCATGCATCTGCCAGCAAGCAGCCAAAGCTGCCAGAAAGTATTCAAAAAATTTAACAGGTCAATATGATGCCACCCACAATTCACAGAATGAGAGATCAAGCTCAGAAAGGGCGACCAGCCTAAGACCACACAGCTGCCTTGGCGGTCCCTCCAACCCCAGTGCCCTCCTCACCTCTGTGTCCGAGTAGTATGTGTTCCAGGTGGAGCGCAGGGCCTCCTGTCCCCCTATGTCCCACATGAGGAAGTGTGTCTTTTTCAGAACAATCTCTTCCATGTTGCTACCAATGGTGGGACATGTATGGATCACCTCATTGGTCAGGCTGGGGAGGTAGAAGTGGGTACCCAGAGGTCAGCCCAGCTACCCCTAACCTGAACCTCTACTCCCTGGGCAGGCTGAATCTAACTCAGACGAACTCAGCAAAGGGTGACCAAGGCCCTGCTCAGGGTCATGACGTGTGCTGAGCAATGGGAAAGCAGACAGGAATGAGATAAAGCCTAGCCCAGGTGTGGACCACAGCGAGGGGAAACTCAGAACCATCTTCTCAAACTTTGATAGCAGTGAGTCACCTGGGAGTCTTGTTAAAATGCAGAATCTGACTCAGTGTGGCCTAGGGCCCAGGACTCAGCATTTTTAACAAACTTCCGTTAATATGATGCTGCCAGTCTGTGGACCACATTGAGTAGTAGCAAGAGATTAGAAAAATGAGTCAGACACAGACGAGGGTCATCAGAAGGGTGCTTAGTTTGAAGTAACATAAAAAATACATACATATGTTTTTATATGTAAGGAACCTCTCTGGAAGTTACCAAGAAGTTCTAACAGTGGGTAAGTCTTGAAAGCTAAATTGGAAGTTAGGGGTAAGAGAGAAACTTACTTTTCATTATATATTTTTATATTGTTTGAATTTTGTTTTGTTCTCTTTTTCTTTTTAACCATTTACATTCCCCCCGGGGGAAATTTCATTTTTGTAAATAAAATATTTCGTATGTCTTCCACAGAGTGAACCGAGAGTCGTTCCAACTCAGTACCAACAACCACAGGTGAGACACTTCGGAGCTACAGACCCACCCAGACTCAAGTCTGGCCCTCTCTGAGCTCCTAGTGGGCCGCTGGGTTTGAAAGTCAAGAGGCTGACAATTTAAAAGGGCAGCCAGGCAGGGATTGGAAAGTAAACACCTGCCACTAATGGGCGGGAGCAGCAGAGAGGCAGACAGAAGAGGCAAGTTCGAGTACCTGTCAGGCCTCTACGTCTAGAGGCCACTGAACGCAGGGACCACTAACCAGAAAGGTCACGCCAACGTTGCCCCCATCAAGCCTCCCAGCTACAGGAGGAACCGAGGAACCCAGAAAAGAGCTCCTGTGATTGGTCCAGATGCCTGTCAGTCTGGGGGGAAGGCTCAGCCCCCCTCCCCAGGGCCCCGGAGTCACTCACAACTGGTAAAGAATGGTTGTCTTTCCGGCGTTGTCCAGTCCCACGATGATAACCTTGCGTTCTGAAGGCAGCCGGAGGAAGGGTATGGGCAGGGTCAAATTCGATGATCAAGGGACTGGGTGCCCCCACCAGGCCTCCCATAAAAGACACAAATGTTCCGAGCGGGCTGGGGGACTTCTGCTCCCCCACCACCAAAACACAGAGCATATGTCCTCCCTACGGGGTCTTAGACACCTGTGCCCATCCTGGGCACTGGAAATGAGAGTCGAAAGCGTCCCCTCCAGTCGCCTCTCCATAATTCCACAAAAGTGATTGTTTGAAAGGTCCGCAATCTTTCAGGGAAAAGCCGGGCGCGAAGTCACAACCTCAGGACACCGGCAGCAGCTTCCTATCCCGAGGGTGGCGGCATTCAGCCGGGAAGAAAGAGGCTCGTCCGGCCCGTGCGCCCTGGTCGTGCTGAAGTGCGGGTCGCAGGAACAGTGGGCGGGGAAGGGGCCAGAGGAGACAGTGGAGCGGCCGAGGAACGCCCACGCAGGACCCTAGCAACCCCAGTGCTTCCGCCCCGACGACCCCAGATCGGGTGAGCCTAGGAAAGGAATGGGATCTGAGCTGTCAGGGGGATGCCCTGTGCACTCCTTACCCTGACTCCAGAAGATGTCCATCAACTTGCCGACCAGCAGTCCCATGGCGCATCCGGAACCCGGCAGGGCAGAACTTGGTGGCCTCGGGGGACACGGGTCAAGTCCCAAAGTTCCGGACCCCGCCCCCTCACGTGAAGATTGGGTAAAGCCTAGCCTATGAGGTCACGGAAACCCCACTAATCACAGCAGGGCCTGGGAATCCCCTGGGACGCTGGTCCCTCGCTGCGCTATTGACATCCTGGTGTTTTGGAGTCACCTGCCTGGGGCCCTGGAGATGCAAAGCAAATGGGGTCCCAGCTTCGGGCTCTCCTACAGATTCTGAGAAAACGCTAAAGAGCTCATTGGCTGCAATGCTCCCCCTCAAAAAAGTTAACCGACAGCGCAGTTGCGGGATATCTTGGATCGGAATGGTGTTCCCAGAAAATACGTCAGCTTGCCTGGGCCATGATTTGTAGTGGTTTGGCAGTTATGGAATGATGTGATTTGGCAGTTACCTAATCATCCCCCATGATGTGATCTGATGTGACCAGGCCATCAGTAAAGGGAATTAGGGTGGGAGGCACCACCCCTCCCTAAGCAGGTCACGGTCCTAACCCCATGAAAGGGGAGTTTCCCTGGGGGCGTGGCCTGCATCTCCTTTCATCTTACAAGGAAAGGAGAGAGAAACCAGCAGAGAAGAGGGACACGACCACCAAGAAAGAAAAGCCAGGAACAGATTGTGGCCTTTGGACCCAGGATCTCTGCACTGAGGACCTCCTAGACTCAAGGAATGACTGATGCTAATCTCCAGAGGACAGTGGACCCACAGATGTCGAGAGGGGACAAGGACCTTCCCTCAGAGCAGACACACAGAGAAAGCCTTTTCCTAGAGCTGGTGCCCTGAGTTCAAACGTGTAACTTCTCTAAACTGTGGGAGAACAAACCATTAATGGTATTTCTGTCATAGCAACACTAGATAACTAAGACACCCCACAACAAGATCCCACTTCTCCCTCCTCCAAATACCTTGTCAGGGGCCCTACCTAGACTGATGCACAGTCCCTAGTGTCCTATCTTTTACATCTGAACCTCTCCGAGTTGTTTCCTTAATATCGTTGATCTTGACAGCTGACTCAGAGTAAGTTTCCAGGGAAAAGGACAAAGGGCCCCTCCTTTCACCGTCCCATGATGCCAGGCAACAATTGAGGAGAAATCAGCGCTGCTCCCCTGATTCACTGACTGACCCGGTACCGCTCCCAATCCCTGAGGGTTGTCATCTAAAGATAGGAACAGAGCAAGAATGATCTGTCTGCCACCAGAGCCCTACAGAAGGGCCCATGATGCTAAGATCCAGCAGAGGACAACCTGGGTGGAGAGAGAGTTGGGAGGCCAGGCTGGAAGAGGAAGACATGTTGTTGGTTGTGAAATTCCTTCTTTGCTTAAGTTGGGAAACTCCAGAAAACAAAAAGAGAAGTAGAGAAGACCACCTCAGATTGAGGTCACCACATAGGAGAACTAGATCCTTTTACCTCACTGCCGCTGGTTTCTTATAGTCCTATTATTGTTTTCAGATAACTACCATGGAACTGGTCTCCCTGTCTTTCCCTCCCCCTTATCCAAGACATTCTCCTCATGGCCACATTAACCTTTCTAAAGCACAGCTCAGAGTCTATTATTCCCCAGCTCATAAACCTTCATGGTTCCCCATTGCCCACTGGATTCAGATGAGTCTCCTAACCTGACATTCAATAGCTTCCATGGACAGCCCCCACCTGCTTTTGAAGGCTTATCACCCAATGCCCTCCTCCAATGGGATGGCTGACTGGTTCTGGTCCACACATGCCCAGCTCTTTCTGATGGTGCCTTTGCTTTTGCATTACCATCTTCTCTGCCAGAAAGATTCCTGAGATCCCTTTTCCACCTATTTGACTAGACTGAAACACAGTCCTGAGCGTTCCATCTTTTACACCTGAGCCTCTCTGAGTTGTTTCCTTAGTGTTGGCCTTGAGGGTTGACTCAGTGAGTTTCCCGGGGAGAGAACACAGTGTCCCTCCTTTCACAGGTGCCAGGCAATGACTGAGGAGAAATCAGTGCTGCTTCCCCAATTCACTGACTTATCAGGCACCACTCCCCAATTCCTGAGGGTTGTCATCTGAAGACAGGAATGGAGCAAGAAGATTGATCTACAGAAGGGGCCCATGATTCTAAGACCCCGCAGAGGACAAATGGGGTGTCTCTGTATACTGGGCCTGTAGCCTGAAGTGTCTGTTGCTCCCAGTTAACTGAGTCTTAGAGGGCAGGGTTCATGTCTCTTTCGTCTATGTAATTTCCCTCACCCCCATGCCTAGATCAGTGCCTGGCACACAGTTGGGATTTGTTGCTTTTGGACTCAAACAAAATGAGTTAATCTGCAGCCTGTAAAATGGTTTTGAGAATATTAAAAAGAACTGTATGAGTACAGGTTTAAGGGGAGTGAGAAAGGCTAGAAGTATACGAAGAAAAAAGGGAAAATACTTGTATCTCACTACATATAAAATTTTCATCCCACTCAGCTTCATGCCTAGAGTTAGGATGGCATAGTGACCTCCAGAGTCCATCTGAGCAGATTCCATTTCAGTCCTAGGACAGAAGGAGCTGAGCTGGGCATGGTTGGGGTAGGGACAGGGTACAGAGGGTATTGGGGGAAGCTGCAATGCTTCAAGCAGTTTAACCATCTGTTTCCTGGGGGGAAATGGAACTTCTTAGTGCGTCTTTGTGTGTGTGTGTGTGTGATTTAAATTATCTTTATTTTTAAAGAAAGATGTGGTTTGTTGTTGTTGTCAGGTGCCATCGAGTCGGAACCGACTCATAGCGACCCCGTGCACAGCAGAACGAAACAATGTCCGATCCTGGGCCAACCTCACTACTGCTGGCACACTTGACGCCATCAATGATGCCACCTGGCTGATCCATCTCGTTGGGGGTCTTCCTCTTTTTCTCTGACCCTCCATCTTACCCAGCATGACATCCTTCTCCAGCGGTTCCCTCCTGACAATATGCCCAAAGTATGAGAGAGGAAGCTTAGCCATCTCAGCCTTCAAGGAGCACTCTGGCTGCGCTTCTTCCAAAACAGATCTATTGGTTCTTTTGGCAGCCCATGGCACTTTTAGTATTCTCCTCCAACACCACAACTCAAAGGCATCAATTCTTCTACGATCTTCCTTATTCACTGTCCAGCTTTCGCATCCATATGAGGTTATTGAAAATACCATGGCTTGGGTTAGGTGCACCTTAGTCCTCAAGCTGACATCTCTGCTCTTCAATACTTTAAAAAGTTCCTGTGCAGCAGATTTGCCCAATGCAATATGTCGTCTGATCTCTTGACTGCTGCTTCCATGAGTGTTCATAGTTGATCCAAGAAGAACGAAGTCCTTGACAACTTCAATCTTTTCTCCATTGATAAGAATGTCGTTTATTGGTCCAGTGATGAGGATTTTTGTTTTCCTGACATTGAGATGCAACCCATACCGAAGGCTGTGCTCTTTGATCTTCATCAGTAAAATGTTTCAAGTCCTCTTCACTTTCAGCAAGCAAGGTTGTATCATCTGCATATAGCAGGTTGTTAATGAGTCTTCCTCCAATCCTGATGCCACGTTTTTCTTCATAGGATCAGAGGTTTTACAGCTGGGGAATTTGAAGGGAATCCAGAAATCTATTGTATTCTGGATCAAGACACTCAGCTGTTCCAGGAGCCGCCATCTTGGGAGAGAACATCTTGATTGTATCAGGATTAATAGTATCAGGAGAGAACATCTTGATTGTATCTTGATTGTGTCAGGATTATATCAGGATTGACATCAAAATTTAAAGTGACAGTATCAACATAAAACCAAATGGCCACCACTCATCTGCCTGTCATGCTGTGGTGGCTTGAGTTGCTGTGATTCTGAGGGCTATGCCACCGGTATTTTAAACAACCGGCAGGGTCACCCATGGTGGACAGGTTTCAGATGAGCTTCCAGACAAAGACAGACTAAGAAGAAAGAGTGACAAACTACTTCCGAATCGCTAGTCACTGAAATAGCAGATATGGTTTGGTGGTTGGTTTTTTGTTTTGTTTTTGCAATGCCACCCTGTAGGAGTGAAGAAAACACATCTTCTTTACTTTAACCATGCTTTTTAGTTTCTGCACAATGGTAAAACTTTTTGTTACTCTCATAGTCAATGATATAAAACAGACTGGCAAACTTTTTCTGTGAAAAGACAGACAGTAAGTATTTTAGGCTTTTGGGGCTACATATGGTCTGTCACATATTTTTTTCTAATAGCCCTTTAAAAATGTACATCACTTGTTTGTACCATATAAAAACAGACCAAGCCAAATTTGATCTGCAAGGAGTAGTTTGCCAATCCCTGATAGAAAATATCTACTTTTGGTCACCACTGAAACTGTGTTCTTCAAGGGTCTTGACAGTCTGCTGCCTGGAAGTCAAATAGAGAAAGGCCTGATTTACAGCTGAATGTGCATTATGACAAAAGCTCCATCTCACACTGGACTCTCAAAAATAGTTTTCCGTTCACTCATTCATTAGATAAATTTATTGATCACTTACTATGTACACTATTAGTATCCGTGTTAACAGACATTTCCAGTGCTTCTGCCTTAAAACGGAAATCTCTCCAGTTTCTCTAAATGAGAACTTATCAGAGGCCATACTCAAAATTTTTAGGTGAAATTAGATTAAGATCTCTGTCAGTATTTAACAGGATTCATGATTTTTTTTAATTCTAACCAATGATGATATTCTTGCATTGATAATGGACACATCCTTCTTAAAGTCACAGCCTAGATGAGGAAAAATAACTATTCCAGTTTCAAAAGAGACTTCATTTCCACCCACAAGCTGAAATGTTTTTTAAAATCCTCAATTCTAGAACACTCCCAAATAATTTTTTTTTTTTTCATTTTTCTCCTTTGTAGCCATATAACATAAAATCTGGTTTCGAGAGAGATCTTCATTAACTTTCTATTTCAGCTATAAAATATTACATTTAGGGCTGAATACTGCCTTGGAAACCATCTGCAC